TTTCGTTGGTGGTTTGTTTGGGTTTTTTTGTTGTTTCTTTGTGTGGTTGGGTTTTTTGTTTATTTTTTGGCTTGTTTTGATATGTTTTTTAGTTTTTTTGAATTTTGAAACTGGGAAGATCATACCAGTGTAACTGTCCAGTTTCCTTCCCAAATCTCTGACTGATGGAAGAATATAGACAGCTGCACAAGTGTGGAAGTGCCCATTGAAGCTCGTGGAAGTTCTTGCACATAAATTTCTTAAACCAATGACTGTATGACAGATTTTATTGTGCTGCTAATGCAATATTTGCAGCCTCCATGACTCATACCATCATTCACTGAGATCTTTGAAGCTTCTGCATTGAAGTAGAGAGATCTTATCAATGTAACACTGGGCCTGGTGTTGATAAAGTGGGTACTGATGAAAATGAAATAACCACAGCAAAGGATGAGTCTGACTACTCAAGGCTACCTCCGTCAACTTGATATCAAGTGCAATGAAATGAACTCTCCTTTACCTAAAAAAAACTGGCAACAGAGCCCTAACTAGAAATGTTAAAACATGGCTAGAGGTCAGAGGATGAACATGGCACACTAAAACCTTGGCCAGGGAGAAGAGAACATAAGGAATGGGACTTGTTGGTTATAACTTGTTGTTGGTATTACAAGGTAACGCTCTCAAGAACTTAATAAACTACAATCATTGTCATCTACGTCTGAAAATATGCAAAATAAGTTAGAGTTACAGAATGCACTTCAAGAGAGCTGGTTAGGACAGTTCTAAAGGAAAACAGGACTGTTTATGAAATCTACTTTGACCAACACATTAAATAAAAGATTAAGGGAGAAAAAGGAAGTAGACTCTTTTTTTATTGAGAATTCAAAAGCATATTTGAAAGTAGAAATCAAAAGAAAACTAAAAATATCAAATTGATGATGGTTTATGTTGTTCAATGAAATTGAATGCTTCATGAAAGTTAATCCATGATTTTTTATATGAGAAGCTTAGAATAAGATGTCAGAGAGATGTAATTTCTATACATCTTCACACATGTATCTGTGCTTGAATAAAATACTCTAGTGCACAATACAGACATCATCTTCTGTAAGATCATCAGTCCATGACATCAATTATGCAATGAGGTTTCCCCTTGAACTTCTTTCCTCTATTATATTTTCATTACTACATTCAGTGTAGGAGTTAGGCTGGACAATTTTCTTGCTGCCATGATGGATGATTATGACATGTTATGAATAAGAGGTGATTAAATATAAACTATGTGTTGTCCATCAATGCAGTTATTATGGAGGCTTTGATATTAATATATTTTTAATTTCTCAGTTCACGGATGAAAGGATCAGCCAACATTAATAGCGCTACATAAAGGGATAATTTAGTAAGATACCTGGTGCCCTAATCCTGATTCAGACAAACTTCCCATTAAAATATGTGGAAATGGCAGTGTGACTAAACCCTTTAGTTTGGTCTTAGAGTCAGGGACAATCTTGTCCTATTCAACACAATAAGAAGTTTAATTCAGAATATTTATTCATATTAAATTTTAATCTTCCGTTTAAAGAATATGTTGAATATACAGTGTACAGATAATTTTCTTCTTGTTAAGAAGCATAATTTTTTTGTTTCTCTGCATTTTTGTCACATACTTTATCAATAAAGAGAAAAAGTGGGTGAAGAAAGCACCCTAACCAACAGCAAACAGAAACTTGACTTGCCTCTGTGTCTGCTTGCCAGCTTATGCAATAAAATCTACTGAAAATCATAATTTATAAACATTCTCAGAGAATGACTTAAAACATTTGTTGGTTGGGGTTTTTTTGTGTGTGAAATGATAAATTTTTTTCCACCTTTTTTTGCCTCTTGTGGTTTAGAAATATTAAGGAGTCAACTATACATTCCTGCTTTTTCCCATTATGTTTCTACTTTTTTTTCCTTTTTGAGTAACCACAGGCTATGGGACAAAAAGTTTAGTAATACAAATAAACTACAGAAAATTTTTATTAATTTTGTTTTCAAAGTTGATATTTTTATGATATTTTATTGTCTTCATTTTTGGTTTTACATTGTGCACTTAATACACTTTGACTACAGAAATTTCAGAAAGTGCTAAAATGCTGAGAAGACTCAGGATTTATGGAAAATATATAGTAAAACACATATGATGTGGTCAGATCATAGACTTTCTTTCCCTGGTAGACAATTCAGTTCAGAGCCAAGACTTTAAAAGAAAGAGGTTTTCTAGTTAGATGAGAAAAGGAAGAGAAAGGACACATGAAGGATATCTTCAGCTTCAGTGAGCTACGGGAGGGGAAGGAATAGTACAACGATGATAGAAAAAAATCCTTTTAAGTAAATGAATGTATTGCAAGAGCTAATTTTATTCTGTGGACAAAATTTGGTGACAACATTATTCACACAGGGTTTCAGACAGCCTATGGCACCTCAGTGAGCCTGAAGGAGCCTGCAGGGGGTCAGCAGAACAGCCCTGGTGACCTTCCTTCTTATCAACTAACCCTGATCAGTCTTTCAATTCATGCAAATAACAGATGCACTCCTTTATTTTCTATCTTGGATTTAAGGAGGACATAAAAGTAAAAAATTTTAACATTAGAAGTAGCTGAACCCAGAGATACATGAATGGCTGGTTTATACATTGACATGAAATTTTATTCACATATTATTGAAGAAAATGCTGGAGAGAGAAAGCACTTTGTCATTAGCCTAAAGTGAACAGGTTTTTGTTTGCCTAGGAATGGGGTATGTTTTCCACAAAGCTCCTTGTCAGTTACAAATTTATTCCTACTTTGTATAATGCCTGTCTCTACTTTTTGCTTAATATTATTCATTTCACATAAAAATAAATGCAGAAAAGGTGATTACAAAAGAAAAATAATTTGATTGAACTATTTTATTTCCTTCAAAGAAACTGTTTTCAAGCTATTACTGTACTTAGAAGAAGACTAAAGGGAGAAGAAGGGAACTTGGAAGAGCAGTCAATGGGCATAAGTAAGAGATCTAGAACTCAGAGAAGCTGGCTATTGTCTTACCCCTAATTTTGTTGAACTCAGAGCCAAATCACTAAAATAACAGAGCACTTGAATAAAAAAAAAATGCAAGAATTTAACCATATAACATATATTATCCATTTACAAAGTTGCTTTATCATCACAGTACACCAATCAAATTACTCCTCAGTGCAGAACATTTCAGCCAATTTAAATATAAAACATTAATGAAGTCACATGTGAGGGGCCAAACAGGGATGTTAAACAAATCTGGAAATCACAAATAGACTCTACTAAGTCTCAATCAATTTTTGGTTAATGGTATATTAAGTAGGAGTAATTATTCAAGTTAGGGGTTTCTTTGTACAAATTACACGTAATAAGCTTAATGTAGATGTGACATAGTTCCTTAATTCTAGCCATTAAGGAAAGTAGATTTAACTCCATTAAGTAACTTCACTTAAATATGACAATAGATAACTGTGGTCATTAAACTAACGACATCTGTCATCAAAGTTGATGTTACCACAATGCCATGCATGTGTCCAGAATAAAGACTCAGTCAGTATTTCTGTTATAAAGTGATCCAGGGGGTTGTAGCCTGGCTATTTTAAGGAATGGTGGAGAAAGAAAAATTTAGTCCACCCAAGAAAAAGGTTATTGAACAAGGTCTGCACCAGTAATGTCCATGGGCAAGTCTCTACAGTTTATCTGCATGTGGCAGAGCAGTATGAATTTTGATAATGTAGAACTGTGAAATGGCATTTAACACATATATGACTGCATCAATCTGTGCTTTAGAAAAACTGTCAGCACAGAACTCCTCAAAAAGCCTTATAGAGATGAAACCTGCACTGTTTAAATGCTCTCTCTTTGTTCTATTCTGAGTTCCTAGTCATCTTCAAAAAGAGGATTCCCAGTATGAAGCATTTGCTCCTCATACCTACAGACAAGCACAGATTAAGCACTTACACATTTCTAAACAGCAGCTAATAGCTTTTGGTGGAAATATGAGTGATGTGTAATAAGTCTGCAAACTGCAAGTAGCTCAGTTAGATATATCCTGAGGGTATATCCTACTGTCTATACATTCAGATTTACAGAATAACCTGCTGTTCTGCAGCTGAAGTTATTAGCTCAGCACTGAAGAAGTGCTGAAGTTCTTAGTATAAGATTCATTCTCTACTATTTTTGCACACTCCCAGTACATTATTTTTACTACTTCCTCAGTGATTGTGTCTTATCTGGTAGGAACAATATAAGTCATTGACTTTCCCTATTAGTCTGATAGAATTGGTTAGAGTACAGTGAAAATTACATTAAAGAACAGAGAAGATTAATTATGTTTTAAAGTCAGTAGAAATAATATCACTTGAAACCTATTCTGCAATACAGGATGGCATCTTCTGAATGAGTCTTGAGAGTAGAACACATCCTCTCTGTTCTCCCTGATGCCTTGTAGAGAACCCCTTTTCCAGCACCTCTGTCTACCCCTAAGCTTTTTCTGGCATTGCAGCAGCTTTTCTCAGCATTTGTGGAGGAGATGGGACTGGTAACTGTGTGTGCAGGACAGACCTGTTCTTGGGAAAGCAGTTTGCTTTGCTTGCTTGCCTGTTCTTGTGCAAGAATTAGAAAAGACAGTTCTTTTTTTTTTTTTTTTTTTCCTCTTGATATTTCAGCACTGGACTTAAGTTTTCTGATTTTTAGTTTTGTTCCTTTGAATTATTAAACAAAGGAAAAGCACACACACTGTTAGGAACACCTCTGAGACACACCAGCTACGGCCTTCCCTTTTTGCATTTCCTTTTACCCTTGCTCAGGAATTCTAAAAAGGATTTTCTTCTCTCCCCATGACAGCTCACTCCAGAGAGTGCAGCCTTTCTTCTACAGGCAGGGCCAGTGAGAACAGCCAGGCTCAAAGTCATGAGCTAAATAAAGTATCAGTATTTTTCACCAAAGAAGGAAGAGGGGAAATTGATACAGCCTTCGGGGTACAGTAACTGCTGAACAGAACTCTATGAAGAGACTGCTTTGCTTGAGATCTCTGGGCAATTCCTGCTGTTTTCTGGTGAGCAAGGAGGTAATAATTTATAATGCAATAAGAAAGTACTGCATGTTCTTTAAGCTCCCTTGTAAACAGCAAGTGAGAAACTGCTGGAATAAAACTGATATTGTTAAGAACAAACAAACAAACAAGAAATCTAAAAGCATTACAAACTATTTTAAAAATCAATTATATGGAATAAAAATGAAAATCACAGAACAATTTATCTGTAAGAATAATTAAAGTGTTTTAAGAAAGAGAAAAAATAATTATTTCAACGTTGTCAAAGCCCTGGGTTTGTTTAATTTTGTTTTTCTTTCTCAGCTGCTAGGCAAAAGAGCTAAATGGAAATGGAAACTTAACAAAGTGTTTTCACTTTCAGTTTATAATATATGATGAGGAGTAAGCAAAAGCAAGGAATGCTTTATTGATAAAAATCAATACAGGTATGAAAGTAAACATAAGCAAAACACATTCAAGCGGACAAGTGAATATAATTGTAGCTCTGGACTGCTAGAGAGGTTATTGATTTCTGCAGACAGGACCCTGTACTACACAGGGTACCACAAACAGCTTTTCAGATGATGATTTCTTTAAATGTAAAATCAAATGTCAAAACTTCTGCTAATCTACCTCAGTCTGTGAAATCACATGCCATAAAATGAAGGCCTAATTATAGTGTTTTCCATTGAAAGTTTGACAGCTAACATAGAGTAGAGCTAAATATCAAAAAGAAAGTCTTTATTTTACAAGTACAGATGAAAATTTAATGGGAGTTTGCATCCTAATTCACCGCTACTCTGGATAATGGAGCAGATGCCTTCAACACACCTCTATGTCAGTCAAATATGCCTGGAAACCTCATTGTGGAGTGTGCAGCCCATGAGCACTGCAGCCATATCAACAGGGCATAGCAAAAAAGAGTGCAGTACTATGGCATTTTTGATTAAAGCTCTGCTAGATCCCAAAAACAACATCTTGGTGCTCTCTGAAACATGACTTAGGTGTTTTGCATTTGCAATCAGTAATTCTATTTTAGATATAATTGGACTCTTCAAGAGATCCAGGGCATAGCTGGATAAAAAAACCCTCTTCACATAATTTTCTAGGTGTCAATTTTTGTGGAAGGTTTGAAAGAAGGGGATGAAAACTTGCTCTTCCACTTGGTGTCTCTCCTCTCAGAGGCCTTCAAAGCTGTCAAAATGCTGAAGATAATATGAGATTCCACTGGGGCAGTGAGGTCTTTCTGCCACCAACTCCTTGCATGTAGGGCAATAAAAACATATCACTTAAAAATATCCATAAACCCCTCAGGCTCATATCTGAAAAAAAGCCCAGTAAATAAACAGCTCTCCTAGAGACTAACAGGATGTTAGGATAACCTCAACTGTTCCATCTTTGGAGAAAAACACCAGGTGTGTTTTAGGTAGTTAGAGTTACATGGCATGTAGACATTTTGAGCTGTCTTTATTCTGCAGGTTTTCCAAGAACCTATCACTGTGCTCAAGAATGACATCCTTTAAACATTTTACACAGTTGACTTTACAAGGTGGACTATGATTCCACACAATAAGTTTTTTAATTTCTGATGAGAAATCTTATGGACAAGGTGAGGGAATTGTCAAAGTAACTAGTTTAAGTTAATTTACATGAGATTTTTTAATAAGGATACTGAATATGGGGTTTATAGATTATAAACCTTATGCAAAGAGAAATCAACCTTATTATATATAAAGACATATGGACTCAAAGGGTTTTTTTGCTGTTATTAACTCTGGTTTGGGTCAGATGCCATTTACTCTTGGCTTTCCTAGAGAATATGTCAGTATAGGAATAAGAAGTATGAGTCAAGATAGAGGAGGCTTTACAAAGACAGCACACATGAAATCTGAGAAATCAGGAATGATATGAACAATAGGTGTAAAAGGGTGCTGTTATTATAATAGGAAACTTCAGAAACATGTTTAAGGAGGAGCATTGTAAATATTATTTTAAATGTTCTTGGATAAAAATATTGTCTTCTGTATTTTTAGAACTTTGTAGAAGAAAAACAAACAAACAGGGTTTTTAAAGCATATTGTATATCTGCTATTGATGGGAAGGTGGACAAGTCACTGTAGGATAAAACAAATGCCAGAAATATGAGATAAAATATTCAGATAGGTGAGAAATCCATGTTTAATTGTTGGTAAAACAGAGCTGAAATGCTGGGTAAGCAGGAAAGGTAGTCTTTGAAAAACTGATGGATTTAGCAAGTGACTGAATGTGAAAAACAGAGCTAGAATCTGCAAATAATTGTTGCCAGTTTGGATGACTGGAGGGAAAAATAATCAGTTACCATGGGAGAATAACATGCAGAGGTAAAGAACACCTATAAAGGAAAAGTGCTTTTGGAAACAAATTTTTTGATGAATGGTATAAATATTTGGCTTTTGAGTCACATTGAAAAACTCCTTTCTAAAGAACTGAAAAAGTGCAATGGACTGACAGCTACAACTTACTACTTTTTCTTTTCATTTAAGATTAAAATGAAAGTCTGTCAGATTAAAGATTTTTCAATCTCTTCATAACAGAGACTGAAACTTTTCTAATCATATTCTTCAATAAAACAAAATCTATTTCAACAGATGTTTCAGAGGACAACAGATTATTAAGCAAATGTCAGGTCAAATAAAATTATGTGGAATGTCATATGAATGTGGGAAAATGTTACTTTTTTTCTTTTTAGTTCCATTTACATTTTCAGAAAACCATTTTTTTGTGCCGTTGTCTCAATCTTGAAGTAATTCTGAGGGCCCCTTGGCTAGCCCAAGGATTCTGTCCTCTGTGCTACTCTGTGAGAGTAGCAGAGTTTATTTCTGCAAAGGATGGGGCAGCAGAGCTTCTGGGGGGCAGAGTGGTTTTAGGACACCAAAAACATCTGGGATGTAGGGTTGGAAGGACCCAAGTTGGGGTCCAACTCTTCCAAGGTTGGAAGAGGAGTTTCAGGATAAGTGATTCGAGGAGCCTGGATGTAAAAGAAACAAGAGAAAACAAGGTCTGTGAGAAGAAGGGACTTGGGCATTATGTTCAGGCTTATGGGACATTTGGGTCTCTCTGAGTCCCAACAGATCTCAAACTATTCTCTTCTTTCCAATTTCCTATGTTTTTCACCTGCTCTCTCTAGAATTCACTTCCCAGCTGCCCCATCACAGCAAAGTCAGCTTTTCCCCAGCAAAAGCCACACAGCTGCCAGCATTGCTCATGTCTAAGGCAGAGAAACCATGAGTGCGGCCAAAGTGACTTTTGAAAATACTTCAGTTCTTCAGAATGCATCCCTAGGGGGATTTCTTTTGCATTGAAAGATTTAGGATTAGGGTTTAAAATGAATCAATTAATGATTCATTTAAATTCTTTTCAATCATTCATCCACTTCAGCAGGTTTTACCAATTATCCAGGAAAGTAATGGTCCCTTACAGTTAAAGGTGAGTGTTATTTGTGATTTTCTCTCTAACCACATGGGTTTCCTTGATAATGACTGATTGCAGAAGGGAATAACATGAGAATCTCTGTGCAAATGCAGTTATGATTATCTCCTGCCCTACTTTGCACTGAAGTAATTAAATATTAGCAAGACTGAAGCACTTCTAATGTAGTATAAAGACAAAATACTATTTTGTAACAACTTGAAGTGTGCTAACTATTCACACATCTGAAAGGCATTTCAACTCACAAAATAAACAGTAAATACTATCCCTGTGGAATTTTAACGTTATTTACTTACACTGCAAGAATTTGAAAATGCAAATTGTATATGATGTGAAGTGCAGAAGTCTCGTTCTGTCCTGCGCTTCTACACCTGATATGATGGCAGACCCAGACTGCTTTGACAGAAAAGTGCCACATCACAGGTCATATGTGGAAATGGTAACTGGGACAAGCAGACAACAAAAAGATAAATTCCAGTTTCCAACTCATTTAAAAATACATGTAAAATTGACCTGATTTTTTATCTGAAGCTACTAACAGTATTACATCGACAATATATGGTATAAGTTAATAGTAAGAAGAATAACAGAAAGCTAAAACAAAATCTAATATTGCAAGTCTTTCTGGCTGACACAAGCAGATTTTTCTCACTATGTTCTTATAATTCTGTTTCTACTTCTCTCTAGAACACAAAAATCAGGAAAGGCATTAAAACGTAATAAGCCTATTTCATTGTTCCTGCCGCGTAAGCTGCGTAGGGTCTATCCAGCCTGACAGCCTCTTCTTTTCTGCCAATATTTATTACCTTTTATTTAAGACTCTGAAATGACTTCCCAAATCAACATTGGATGAATTTTCTTCATTTTCTTCCCTTTCTGTGTGGAGATAAAATCTGTTAGCAAGAGATTTGTGGGTGGCCCACGAGTCACACCATTGGTTAAAGTGGAAAATCTAAGAATTTTTACTGTTCACATTATGTTTGAAAATGGTAAAACCCAACCAACCACAAACATTTAAATAACACATTTTTTGTTTCTAATTCCATTGAAGTCTGGGATTGCCTCTGAACACAGAACTCCCAATAAAAGACTTCCCAGAAGAAAACTGGCATTTTTAAATACCAATTTCAGTTTTTTATTTTCTGCAGTGCACTTGAGCAGATTGAAATAGCACCGCTGGTATTTGTACTTGGATGTTCTTAGACCTACAGTTTTGCTGGGCCTAAGCTCAGACTTGGCTTTATTTTATCCTAGATATTTGTGTTTAGATACTTGCTTTATATATCTGTCCAGTAAAAAATGCCTTTTCAAAGGATTACTCAGCATCTAAGTTCTCTCATTTCTGCATTGCATGGAGCTACTCAAGTCCAGCAAATGATTTTTAAAAAGTGCCCATTTGATGGTTTTTACTACAACAGTATTTATGATATTCCCATTTATTAAAAAGAGGGACCAAATTAGTTCCCAGGTGTAGTGGGGAAAATTTTATTAATAAAAAGGTGAGATACCTGAGCATTTTTGGACAAAATCTGCCTTGGTGATGAGTCAAAACCAGTAGTGTGTCTTTG